CAGCTCTTTCTAGTTAAATGATATAATCTGTTTCAGGCCATTAATCATGAGTAGGTGTCTGTAATGAGACCATGAAACCCAACATCCCTGCCTCATTTGCAAAGATATGATGACTTTAAATTAGAGCTTTGCCTTGGTGACCCCTTAGCTGGAGTTTCACATTCCTACTACTGTGTGCAACCGGGCACTAGGAAGCTTGATACTTCCTATCCCACAGCTCACTACGTTTCAGAAGTGAAGTAGCATTATGCCAAAACCATTTAAAAGTATTTCTGATGCCCTCAACAGGTTGTATTAATGTAAGAGATCAGGTGAATTTATTGTACTAGTAAGTAGCCCTGATGGTACTCAGCATTTTAAAAAATATCCAACACAAAAGCCAAAAGGCTTTTAACTCTTAATACCACTGCCTGCAGCGCTAAAAAACAGCAAAGCAGTTGGTATCTGCCAATGATTTTGCTGCTAGTTATGGAAATCAGAACAAGCTGAATAAGCCATGACATCAGTGGCTCAGAATTAGAATACTTTAGGACATCTAAAACCAATGGTACCCCATTGTGACTTTCTGTGCAAGTCACTGGTGGAGTCTCCCTGAGCTGTGCTGGGTCTAACCCTGAGCTGGGTTACACCTTTGAAGCCCCACCAGCTAACAAAAAGCTGTGTGGGCAGAGAGGAGCATTCAACGTTTGAGGTATGACCTCAGGGAAAGGAAGATGGCTTTGTGAGATTGCCTGACCAAACTGGACTGCAGCTACTAGCAATGCTAGGTTAACGGTTAGGCTTGATCTTATAGGTCTTTTCCAACCTAAATGATCCTGTAATTCTACCCAGGTTATTAAAGTGTGGAACAACCCGAGCATTTCAGTCATTTGTCATAATTTCAAAAGTGATGCAATTGTCCTGTTTTTCCATCACAATCTGTTCTAGCTCCCAGCACTTTTCATCTGCAGTTACCAGACTAATACCCACAGTACAGGTGTTCATGGCAGTCCGCCACACCGAATTTAATGCCACCTTCAAACTAGAGGTACCTAGTCTCCCCACTGCGGCGGGGAAGAAAGAGGGGCTTTTATTAGAAAAAGCACACAGATGATCCTGACTAGCATCATCAGTCCTACGTGTCTGCCATCTCAATTTTAAGGCCCTTAGAGACGAAATCAGAGAGAGAACAAGTGCCAAAGAGAAAATTAATCAAACGAGACCTTAGTGAGCCATTTTGCTAACTGGCACAAGACTTGCTTGGAATGCAAGGCTCCACAAGACATTACTGCTCAGAGATTTCACTAAAAGCAGTGAGCTCTTCTCACTTTAGCCTCTCTAGAATAATTGTGCTATATCGCCATTAGGCAGAGAGCTGCCTTCTTACAAATAGCTGCTCTTTCATATCCAGAAAAGGCAGATGCGAGACCCCATCCAGATCATTCATGCTCTGTGTTTTCAGTCTTTTTGTTTGTCTGTGTTTGCCCTTCTGGAGCAGCAATTGTGTTACTGTTTTCTCATTGCCTTGACCCTCTTCTCTGCAAATGCTTCTGTTAGAAAAGATGTAGGGAACTTCTCAGATCAGATATGGTACAGAGAAAGTCTACTGCCTCCAATGTAATAAGTACGAGGCAGTCCAGTCATCTGGAGAGTACAGATAAGCCTATGAATTCATTTCACAGAAGGCTATTCTGCCCTTTGACTTGAGAACAGACCAAAACTTATTTGACGACATAGGAATAATCACGTGCATGGAAGAGCTGAAACTACATTGGCAGTTAACGGCCACCCCTATCTTTTTGACTATGCAGCATCTTTCAATTCCTTAAAGGATAGGCAGGCAGAAGACAAACATGTTGAGAGGGAGAATACCAGAAAAACTCAAATCAACACTGAAGTCAGGTTTAACAAATTAGCAAGTGAGAGAAGATGCCAATAACTGGCTAAGATGCTTCCTGTTTCATGGTGAGGAACCACAGCAAGGTCAAAAGAGCTAACAACTAGGAAGGATGAGTTTGCCTTGGCAAGTAGACTCCTTGCAGAATGTTACCAGCAAGGATCCTACGGTGTTGACAGACCGACGTGGCTCATCATCAAATCCCTAGCATTTGCTTGTCCCTGGGAATCTCCCACTCTTTGTTCAAGAAAATATGGAAAGATAGAGGTCTCTTCCCAGTATTCCTGATCTGAACACTGGATAAACCTCACAACAGTCAGCAAGGCAGTACCATGAAGTATGGCAAATACACCTGCCTAGAGCACCAATCTGTCTACTTAAACTATGGATCCTGGAGATCTTTAGCACTGAAGATCTATGAATATCTTCAATGGTAATAACAGTCTATCCTTAATTCCATGTCCATTATTTTCAAGGGCCTACGCATCCCCTCAGCATGTAATAATGTTAACATTAATGCTTATAAATAAAAAAGAAGAAAGCACTGAAACAACAGACTGAGAATGATAATAAACAGACATTAGTTATTAAGAAAGTAATAAAGCCTTCAATAGGATTAGGAAAAGAAAAAGAGCACAATCTCTTTCAGCTGATTACTTAGCTACTTTTAAGATATTAAAAATACAAAAATAAAGTAATAATAATAATAAAAAAATTCCTCTAAAACATGAACAGAGTGCAGGAGGAGCATAGAAAGTTTGACAGAGGCACAAGAGTGTGACAAGCTGATTAGGTTCCAGTGAATTAGAAGCAATTCAGAACAGCTGGAAGTTCCCCTTCAGATGGAGCTATGTCAAAGCCATGCCTGCCTGTTTAATAGGAGACTCTCCAGTAACAGAGTATGAGCAGCCATATGACAATCTGGAAGGAAAGCTTCATCAAAAGGAAAGTTTGATCCTCAGAATTATAAAAACAAATGTTTCCAGTAAAGAAATACCAGTCTACTGAAATGGCTGAAATAAAGAAGAGAATGGTCCCAAATGTAGTATTTGTGTGTAGATACACAATTTAAATGTCAGCATTAAATATTTCAATGTGGTATACTTAAAAAACAGGGCTGTAAAGGAGAGTGGATTTTGTGTAGAAAATATTTATGGAGTGAAGGGAAATTAAATGAACATGTATATAAAAATAAATGGTACAGCTGGAAGTTAAAAAAAAGAGACTGCAGCAGCCAAAAGGCAAACTTGACTCCTGGCTAACACAGAATAAAAACAACAGATTCTGTTACCCCACAAAAGCCAGACACTGGTCTTGATCTTGATCTTGGCAACTACCATTACCTCTCATGTACTTACCACACAGGTCGACTACTGACAGAAGAGAAACCACAGTCCAGCACTCAGACCTCAGCTTAATGGCATAACTGAAAGTGGAGGCAACAAGTCTCCTCCTTGTGCAGTAAATAGCAGAGCACTGACTAAACACCCTTAGAGTCCCTCACCACAGTGACATCTCCCTTATTTCTCTGCATTTCACCAGAGCCTATTATTGCTTTGTTTTGTTTGATGTTCTCCCTGTGTTGAGAGAAAGCATGAAGGGGGAAAAGAAAAAAAGAGAACTCTAACTGTCTTTCAAGCTTCCTAATCATCTTCCTCAAAATGCTCCATGCATCAGCACTGATTTCATTATCTGCCTGCTGCTAGAGATTTTATTTAAAGAATAACACACAGGGAAGAAAGGATTTAACCTGACCTCCCTGAACTGCTGAGGGATGAATACTACACACAGCTGACAATGAAAAACACATTTCCTTTCTCAGACTAACCCAAAGACTATGCAAAATTCCCCTCTATCCAAGTCCTCAGTTTTAAACTGGGCTATCAAAAGCTTTTTTCTCTTTTAGGGGCCTGGGTTGAGGCAATCAGTGTATCATCAATGAATGGGGACTGATAACATGAACCATCACAAAGCATAGCTGTGGGTAGAGTGACTCTCAGAGGCAGAACAATACAGAAAAAATGAGTAAATTAATACCAGTGTTTTCTATTCAGCTGTATCAGGAAGAGAATGAAAACCAGTAGGGTCCACATTTTTCCCCCACTTCAGCATTCAACCTGAGACTTTGGGTTATTACATATTACAGATCAAGCAGGATAATAAATGGAAAGGTTAGTGGGAAGCATGGAAGGGTATCATTAAGTAATGAGTAAACGTATCAGGAAAAGAAAGAAGAAAGAATTTCAGAGCAAGATACAATCAGGACCTTTTAACAGGCAAAAGCATGGGATCCCATCCAGTAGAAGGAGCAATCCGGGGTAACTCAAATGATGTCTGTCCTAGACTGTGTACACAATTTTTTCCCCAGAAGGCCCAGAGGTGTTGATGGAGCTGTGCCTGGGATGATCCAGACAGTTCACATGGCAGCTCTGGATTTTGACCATCACAGGCTCCTGCAAAGTCATTTACCTCTCCAAGAGTGATTAACATATAATCCTGATATTTTATTTTGGGAAATAGGCCATCTCTTCCCTTCCTGAGACCACGCATAGTAGCCTATTTTCAAAAAGCCACATTTACACATTTATGCAATATAAGCAGGACACAAGAGAGCAAACCAGGCCAGATTAAGAAAGGGAAACCTAACCCCATCACTCTCTTTATTAAAAACCTTCTCTTTTCAAAATCTAAACCAAACTGAATTCAATTATCCTAGAAAATTTCTACCGTTGCCTGAGTTTTAATTCCCTGATATGACAGAAAATCAAGCCACACTCAACAGTTCTCCAACAACTAAATTCACTGCCAAAGTCTTCCTGCCCCATTCCAAACACCAGCATCCTCACAGTTCTCAGCCACGCTTCCTGACAATGCTGCATATTTTCATCATTCATACCCATTCTTCTGAATTTCCTGGACCAAGATGGCTGCATGTGATGGCAAAATCAGCTAAAGCAAGCCTTTTTTCTCCTCCTCTCACCTACATCTAAACAAGGAACACAAGACTCCTGCCTTCACTCCTCAAACTGCTGCCACTTCATTAGTCCCAGTGGGCGTAAGGTAGATCTAATCACCTATATTCCAGAGGTCAACATGAAAAAAGGTCATCGCATGCCCAGCTTACCTGATCCTCAGAGAGCTGTGATATGTGATTCACGGCAGCGTAAGACTCTATCTTCGGGTTAAAGTGGTTGATGATGGCTCTGAAACAAAGGAGGGAAAATATCAGAGGTCTTGGGAACTGCTTAAGGTTGCAGCAGAAATTGCCCACCAGCTTGAGTCAGTGCACGTGGAGTCACAGTCCTGCAAGAAGTCATTCTTCCTTCATCACACTCTATCACTTGGTCTGCTGAAGGCATGTTCCCTGCCAGAGGCCAATGCAGATTCAGTCACAGGGTGACTGGAAATAGCAAGCAAAGGCACTACTGCTCTATGCACGGGAGCTTTTGTCCCAGCAGATATGGGGCTGTGCTCACTGCTCTGGCAGAGGGAATTACTGCCTTGATGGGAACAGACTGCAAATTGCTCAGTGTTCCAGCAAAGCACAGCAAACCCGGCTTTGCTGTCCCATCTTGCTCAGGAACTGCATCTCCTCATCCCTTCCAAAATCACTATTGCCTGATATTTTGCTCTGTGGAACTTTGTTTCCTGATGCACTGTAGCTGATGGTTTATTGCTTTGGATCTCCACTATGTTTAAAAAGTACCTGGCTCTTACTTGTAGTCACCCATCACTGCAGCCATTACTTTGACTTCCCATAAAAACTTTAGCCCTCAGCCCCAATTTAGATCACTTGAGATAACTTATGCCAGTGTCCCATACACAGCAGCAGAAACACTGATCACTTCTCTTCCTCATGTCTCTCACTGCTTCCACCAACAGATTCACCTTCCCTTCTAGGTGGATATAGATGCAGGTGTGAGAAATCTAAAATTGAAAGTAATAATTGGAAAAAGTAAATCAAACTGCAGCTGGAATACTTCCTCAGCCTCTTCTCTGCTCATCAGGTGCAGCTGGGAAGACAAACAGCAAGACAGTAACGTCTCCCTCGGCTAGAGTTTGCAACTGGTCTAGTTAGGATATTACTCATGAGACCCACTGCTGAGGTAAATGCTCATCATGGGAACAGCCCATGTCAGTGCTCGGCACAGATGTGCACTGACTGTGCCTAAAGAACACTTGCTTAGCCAAATTACACCACAGCAGCAGTCAGGGCTTTCACTCTCATATTCATCAGCACGAAAATTCCCTCCAGCTCTCACTGTTGCTCTCTAATGGGTTCCCTCCTCCCCACGCTCTCCCCTGCAGAAGAGCTTTCAGCTGCTTTTTCCAGACCTCATCACAGCTAAGAGCTGGTGCACAAGTCCAGGAGTAAGTGATATTCAGTGGTGCCAATCAGAGGAAAGAAAACCCGCCTGGAAGCATCCTTACTTCTTTAAGTACACAGATAAAGGAAAAAAAAAAAAGAAAAAAAAAAAAAAAACAAACCCAAAAAAAACACCAAACCTAAACAGAATCTGCAAATTCACTGCAACATTCCCAGCCGCACACCTCATCAACACGCCAGATGCAGTCCACGCACAGGGCAGTCACTCCAGCAACTGCTCCTGCATCATCAGTATGTAACTTAGCACAGGAGGGCTTCTGCAGTCTCGCCAGCCTTGACAGTTACATCAGTAAAGCAAATTCAGCAGTTTTCAACCCCCCCCCCCCCCCCCCTGCCTCTGGAGGAAGGCAAGCCAGAAGGTAGAGACATGTCCAGGCTCTTCCCATTTCAATCCAACCGGAGAAGCAGCTCCTGTGAGTCACAATCACACTCTCCATTACCCAGGCTCTTGAACACTGTGGCTTTCAAGTTGCATGTTTCATGCCTGACTGGAGTTATATTTATGCTCCTACAGGACACACTGCAAGCTATTGAAAGAAAAGGGAACACAGACTTACAACAACTTAACTTCTGGCTTGACAGAAGGTTTGGCAGCTCAGAGGGGTTCAACGCACTCACATGGTTCCAACATTTACCAGGGAACAGATTTAGCATTCATTTGTATCCACTGCTGTGAAGCACTTCAACATGGGCTGCTTGCTCGCAAGTCCCTGCTCAGATCTGAGCTAGTGGAGCAGCACCTGCAATCACAGCTGGGATTCACCCAGGGAAAGCAAAACCAGCAACCAGCTGCCACTGCAGTAAGAATCAACAGACATTAAGGAAGAGAAAGATTTCAAGTCTCCTTCCTTATTTCCCTAAAGGCAAATGGACAACTCCTCAGCGATTAGAGGAAGAAGTTCAGCTGTTTCATTTGTTTTAAGATTGCTCTTTAACTGTGAAGAATTCATTCCCAACCTGACTTTTTGCAGGGCTGTTTTCCTGAACCTTCAGGCAGACTGGGGCAGAAGGGCACGAAGAGTTTGGATTCAATCCTGGCTCTGTATAACTAGGTTCTTACTGCCCAGCATACACTATCAGGCTCTGCACATGGTATAGCTCCTTCCCACATACCTGCTATGAGAAATTCTACCACTACCCCACCCAAGCTGCTGTGCAATAGCAGCACCTTTCTGCATCAACTACTCTGATATGCCCCTGCTCTTCTTCCATCTGTCAAAATCCATCTTGTCCCTGGGGCATACTTTTAAGCAACTGGTCTCCTGGGCTACTGAGTAACAGCTGGAATTTCACTTTGCAAAGCTGCCACTCCACAAGCATTTGATCCTGGAGACAACAGGGGACCAGAGCTTTTAAGCACAGTCTCCCCCTTATGGACAATACAATAGCGGCTTTGCCATCATTTGTTCACACTCCAGCATGCAACAGCTGTGCCTTGGCAATGTTTTATTTTAATACTGTGATTGCCTTCATTACTGGGATATCAGCCAGTACCTGTGGGGAGGGGGAAGGGAGCAGTTAAAGTGCTTGGAAAAGACTTGTGGTGTGCTGTGCTCTACTGAGATCTTCATATCAATCATAAAAAAACCAAAACAAAACTAACCTTGTGTTTAGTATTCATGAAGCACTAGCACCTTCAGTGCCTTTGTAAAGCAAGAAGATGGTAAAGTGGCAACTGAAAGATAAAACACTGCAGTTCCCCAACTGGCCTTAGATAACATGTACACCTACATATCTCCACACCTCAAAGTCCCTCAGTGGGGCTGGCTGCGATTTGTCATACAAATTTTCAGAACATTTTGGGGACTGAGAGATGCTTAGTGAGATGTCACTTCAGCAACACTGCCTCTTCTGACAGACCCACAGTTCAGCAGTCAACTGGCAAGAGGAGACTGTCACCAGACAAGGGAAGGATGCTGAACCAGGCAAAAGGTGAAACAATGGTTCAAGCATTAAAGAACTGTCTCCCAGTGGCTTGTCTTGAGGTTAATGCTTTGTGCTCTAAGGCAGACACAAGCAATTCCCACATTCTTTATCCCTCGAGAGTCGTTTACACACCAGCCATACCAGTGCTCTCAGAAAAATACATCTCCCATCACTTCTCCAAGCTACCTACACACCATAATGCCAGAAGCCATGTAGAAACACATATGAATGAAGCTCTCTATCTTCCTTAGGATGAACCACCTAGGACACTTTCATTTATGTATTTATTGCATATTTACTGCATTCATTTATTTCTTTGTGAAGAAGGGAATGATTGCAGGAAAAATATGAAGTGTTCCATCCTGATGTAGGAACCAAAGTGGCAATAAATCATTCAATTTGTACTAGCTGTATTAATCAGGTTATTAGACAGTAAAGTGGGTCCCAGTGAAACAGGTGTTATACAAATACAGAGTTGTGAAAAGGCTTTGCCCAGAGAGCCAATGATCTCAAGTGCAACAGAATGGGGAAAGCTCAGACAAGTGCAGTGGCAACAGAAAATCCAACAGTGCTGTTACTGAGTGTCATGAAAGACTTTGGTTAAAGATAAACCAAGGACAGGAAAAACACAGAGAAAGAATACTGCAGGAAGAAGCACAGAGATGGGAAAAAGGAGACAGAAGGGCAGACAGGATCAAGAAAAACAGAGGTGAAGTAACTGCAGAACAGAGATGATCACAGCAACAGCACCTGATCCCAGGGCAGTCTGCCCTTTGCAAATTGGAAATCTCTGACTGGCAGAAAGTTTCTACTCTGGCTGTTCTTGAGGCTGCAACAATTGGGCAGTCAACTGACTGTTACTAGCCCTTTCTCCCTCAGAAACACATGGGCTGCAACATAGTAAGTGGGGGAATCTCTATGTGGGCCCTATTAGGCTTTTTTCCCCCCCAAAATGAGAATATCCCACTGCAGCTCTCACCTTGAGCTGTGGTGAGAGAAGGTATACCTAGAGGTGAGTTGCATTCCCTCACCTCACCATCTTCACTGCAACAGGGCTTGCTTTTGCAGTGGCTCTCCAGCAGGTAAGTAATGTTTAAAAATCTTTTCTGTAGTCTTTTAAAATTGTGTGGAGTTACTCCTTAATAAACAGAAACAACTAGTGATGCCATTCAGAGAAGCCAAAGAACTGAAGAGGCAGAGTCTCCTGACAGGAAAGGGCTCCTATGAAAACTGATATGACATGCACAGAAATTTATCAGTTCCTCAATTTAATTTGCCACTAGTAGTAACATCATATGTGAGAAATGAAATGCACCAGCAACACTGATCTACCAGTCCCTTAATTCCAAGCATCTGCCAGCCCACATGCACCCACCATGGCAAGGAACACCACCCTGCCCACCTTAACCTCACAGCTGGTCTGGGTCCCATGTGCAGGGAAACCAAAATCATTATGCTCAGGCAGGCAGCACTTCTTCAGCATGTTTTCTCTGACCTCCAAACTCTCCCCATCAAGTTATTGCAGATGAGCTGTCTAATATCCACTCCTGCTTGACAGCAGCAACATTTCCAGAGTCCCATAAGACAACACTGTCCTCTTCTCCTGAGAAGTGAAATGAAGCACTCTGGAGGTGCTGAAAGTAGGCTAAGGGAAGAACCAGAAGGCTGTGAAGTTTATTATAGAGATGGAAATGCTGCGCCATCATTCACTGCATGAACCTGGTCTTTGCCCCTTTTTACAGGCGCAGTATTCAATGCCTGGCATAAAACATTCTCGTGGATGCCCAAACATTTCTTGTACAATAAAAGCAGCACCCCAAGCTCACTTCTTCCCACATCCTGTTAGAGTGGAACAGAGAAGCAGCAACACTTGGCTGGTATTTACACCTT